AGATTAATAACGAAAGAGAGATCCAGGTCTGGATCGAATACGCCGTTAAGTCGTGCGTTCAGTAACCGCATCGACACACGGTGGCCTGCAAACAACAGACAGTTTGATTAAAAGTAATTGCGTATGTCCGATGTAGCCGGGATTTTGGGACGAATTTTCGGATCGGCCGCGCCGCATCGCATCGTGTTCATTCACAGGCCGCTGGTAATTTCGCGAAAATGCATTTCACGGGTCGATTGCAATGTGGATCACGCTGTTGTTTTCGGCTTCGTGGCCCGCTTCCTGTGATCCTTCCGACCCCGAGTGTACCAGCCGCTATAATTTATGATGCGGAAGAGCCGGTATAATAGGAGGGGGGGGGGAGGGGGAAGTGGCCGCGGGCGAAGGCGACTGCTTTCGTTGTCGTCGTCGTCGTCGTCGTCGACTCTTACCGATGCAATCGGTAGCGGAGCAATCGGTTAAATTGTCTTTCGTAAGACGCGGCGTGCATAATTTAAATACCGCATTCAATTCTCTATTTCGAACGAATTCTCGACTATCGAACTCCCAAATTTTATTGTAGAAGCAGCTAGAAATTTTCCGTGTCGTGTTCCGTATCGACATTTTTCAATGTCTTAACGTAAAAAAGACATCGTCGGGAATAACGCAAATGTGATGCCAGAAGTTTCTCGATTATCTGAAAAATACAATACGGAATCACGTTAATTTGCTGTTAATGTACATGTTGTTCTCAAATCTTTTATAATTTTATAATTTTATGTCTCGATAAATATGTATATGCAGTAGGCTAATGCGATTAAAAAAAAAGAAATAATACGTCATTGTGTTGCTATTCGTCATTCATTAAAATTAAATCTTGTTAAAATCTTCCCATCAGCTTTTACGAAAAAAAAGATATAGCACTATACAGAGATGTTTTTATATTTTTTCTATATCTTTCTTTTTTTGATATATTCTTGAGTCATATATTTTTACATGCTAATTAAAAACGTTTTTGAATTATTCATGTTTATCAGCAGATTTAATTATTTTTATATCGACGCGCCAAAGATTGCCGCAGGCAATTAAAAGAAATGTTTATTTTTTATGCTTGCAGTGACACACGCGATTGTTTTGATCACATCATTAAGCTATTTTTAACTAATTTTATTGTATTGCTGTATCTTTCTTTTTATATATTTACGTTATACGCATAAATTTTATTATTGTAGAAGCAAAGAGAGAGAAAGAACCAAAACGGCTCATACTTCATTGCCCACAAATTGCTAATAAGAAATGACACGTAACTTAAGTATTACGATATTTGTAATTACATAATCTTGTTTGAGTGACACTTTAATTTTAAAAGATAAGAACATTATATATATTTCTAAGAGTTATAATTTACTACATAAATCAAGTGAGTAGAATTCTTCGTCTTTTTGTCTTTAAAATATTTGTAAAGTATGCTGATATGTTTACTTATAATTTAAAACTACGGTCTGCCTGTGCATAAAATTATATATATTTCATCGCTGGCGTATTTTTACAGTATGACAACGGTTCTAATGACGACTTTAAAAAAAAAAAATAACGGAAATTTTTCTATCAAGATCTTTTCTCGGCGCATAATCTACTACGTGTACATAATTTGACAAACGCATTAGCTCGTTAACCGCAAACAGTCTGTGATTAGATTGCAATTGGCCTTTGAAAAGCTCGAGCTTGGTCGATTAAGGGTAATATACAAAAGTTCTCGTGCAGCCAAAGAAAATAACACGATGTATGAATTATCGTTAAGAAGAAATATAAAATAGAAAAGTACGAAATATAAGATATAAAAGTATGATCTACGATATAATAAAAACACAGAAATTGTTTATATATTGTTTGTTACAAAAGTGAAAAAAGAGAAATGAGAAATTACTGTAAAGTTACACTTAACGAAATATATATTTTTGCTCGATGACAATGTCCATACGTAATCTAAAGTCATATTTAAACGTTATTAATTTCATAATGTTATCTTTCGTCATATTTGTTCTCTTAAAGTCATATTAGCTTTCCGTGCACGCACGGCGTAGACATCGGCGCATGAATCAGTGACAAATATATGTATCTCCTGTCGAGATAATAGGTACTGTCAAGATCATCGTGCGACGCACATGTGACTCATCCATGGTAGAAAATATCATAATTGCTTTGACCATATATATATAGGTGTATTTCCATTCGCCGTGTACGGTATAGATAACGATAATGACGCATCTAAAATTCTAATTCTTGTTGATAGTGACTTATATGTATGTTTTTTGTCTTTAAATCCGACGATTTAAATTTCACATCGAACCATGTTGAATTTGCATGTAATAATATCGAAACTAACGAAAATGGCATTGAAGAAACTCGTTTTCCTTTGTCAAGAAAAAAACCGATTCATGACAAATACAATAGCATATAGCGGTTCGTGAATAAATTACGTGACTGTAACTTCGCGTCTATTCAAACCAACGTTCGACAATAATCCTCTCATTCATATTCGTATATATAGATATTGAACATATTACGAAATCCCTCGCGTTTGTCAAACGCGTGACAGTTTGTGGAAATACATTTTATTGTATATATTACGACGTCACACGGATACCAAACGTTATCTCTGGGCAAACTCACGGTATTGTTGCGGTCGCTCCGCAATGAACGGAGAAAAAGTGAGTTTGCATATCGAATTGCATAAACAATGTATTAATTGAAAGAGCTGCTGAATGAAAGCGCATGGTTTAACAACATTTTCGAAAATATTTTAATCTAGGAACGCGAATTTTATCGGTATAATGAAAAAAAAAATCTTTTTTTGTTTAACAAATATTTTTAGTAGAATAAAAACGAGAACATTTATAAAAATGAAACAATAATAGAAGTGTAAAAAATATCCAAGAACGTTTTAAATGTTTTCTGCGAAATATTATTTTTGATTTTAAATACAGCTTGACGATTACGCGATAAAAATTGTATTCTATTTTGACAAAAAATTTTTATTAATTAGTATTAATGATAAATTGACAGCGCATATATGAACATACAAAACGGACTCATGAGATTAATTTAACTTTCGCAAGAATACGATTTACCGCCTTCAGGCACTTGCCCAGATTCTTCAATTGTGAAAGCGTTAAATGTCCGCGCTCGCAAAGTGTCCACTTAGGCACTTATTCCTCGCGCATATGAATCAGATTGTAATACATGCCACCTGCAATTCTGCATCCGCTGGCTATTGCACCCACACATGTCTGCTCGATCCATCCGGCGGCGCTTGTCGGTGAAACGTCGGATTGAAAATGCCTGTTTTTTTTTTTCGCAGTTATTCGGAGAATGACGGGGCATCAATTTACAATAGCGCATGACCGTAGCGTATAATACATTGACTATATACGATTCGTCGAACGAGAACAATGGTGATTTGTCATGAAATATGCGCCATACGTAGAATTTCATTGCATTTCAATGCGTGGTATCATTCGATTTCTCGCAACAATACGAAGAGGAATATTTGTTCTTAAACAGCGAATATAATTTTATAATTTGCTGGAGTTGATAGGGCATTTAAGTGCGAGCTACCATAATCTCTCGACAATTTAATATTTTCTGCGGCACATTAACGTGATACTAATTTTAGATGCCCACAATATAACAATATACGTATTATTGCAGTGCTCCAATTCGAGGGGAATGGAATATTTGCTGCGTTTCAGTTAAATACGAATGCACTTTAAACACAGATGCACGTTACGCGTAACTGTTTTATACGGACTTGGGGGATGGGAAATTGATTTCAACATTCCTATCGTAAATATGGACGTAATGAAGCGCGAAACCGTGTCTGAGCGCGAATGATTGCATACTAAAAAAATGCAATTAATATTTTTATCTCGATTAAATTAATAAAAACACAAAATAATCGAAGTGAATATCATCCATTTATCTATAGTTGTATACTATTTTACCTAGTTAAAATTTGATTCTGCGTTTGTAGCGCGAACAATTTTATATAAACTTATTTTTCAAATATACTTTTATTTGAGTATCTTTTTTTTTTAAATCTTTACATTTTTATTTATTATCTACACGCGATAATGCACTCGTCCTTGCAACTGGCCTCAAATAAGCATTTGCGCATATATTCAGTTGCAGGAAAGTGTGTTAAGGTCAACATGCGAATTATGAGTGAGTCATGATCTTCGGCAATATGTCAAATCGAGCGAGAACCGGATCGGTCTAAAATTACGCTAAACGAACGGCTCACCCTGAATTATCGGCGTTTCATGTGTTCATCTTTTAGCATCGCGCTTCTGATAAACTCGTTTAAAAACGCTTCCAATTTCACTGTAGCGAAATAGTAGTGGTGGTGACCCTGTCGTGTCCGTTTGCACCAGGTACCGCTTATGGATCGGCCGGTTGCTATAGCGCGAATATACCAGCACCCTCGCCCTCTCTCTCCCTTTCTCCATTTGTATCATGCCGCCTCTCGTCGGGGGTAAGAGAATCTCGAGTGTTATATCAATGGAGTCGGTCGTGAGTAGCCATACGGCGAAGTGGCTTTTCGCTTTATCGCGACGGAAATGGCGCGTTGCCCGACCTTGACTTTTAGCATCGCGCTTCTGATAAACTCGTTTAAAAACGCTTCCAATTTCACTGTAGCGAAATAGTGGATTGGTGGTGACCCTGTCGTGTCCGTTTGCACCAGGTACCGCTTATGGATCGGCCGGTTGCTATAGCGCGAATATACCAGCACCCTCGCCCTCTCTCTCCCTTTCTCCATTTGTATCATGCCGCCTCTCGTCGGGGGTAAGAGAATCTCGAGTGTTATATCAATGGAGTCGGTCGTGAGTAGCCATACGGCGAAGTGGCTTTTCGCTTTATCGCGACGGAAATGGCGCGTTGCCCGACCTTGAGAACGTCTAGAGATACTCGAGTGGGATTTCGTTCGAGCGACGTTGGCTGATAAGTAGCCGACGAAACAGACGGGGAAAAAATCGGCTTCGTGGACATGACGAAGGTGCGATAGCGCGCACTTTTTCGCGCTTTTCTCCCGATCGACAGCGAAGGGATATGTCTGAATGGGTGGTGTTTGCTCGTGTCGCGTTGGTCGCGGCAGCCAGGTTAACGCTGGCTCGATTCTCGATCGCGTGATCAGCCAGGCAAGCAACGAGGATCAGTGCCTGTTATACCGGCTTGCCAATTACAAGAAGGGCGGCGAGCTGATCGAGGCGTACAATCAGGGCGGCCAGCCAGAAGTAGAGAAATTGATGCGCGAGCAATTCGGCATCCTGATGTATGCGGATGGTAAGGGCCAGGTGATCAATCGCGCCGAGTATCTGCGCTGGAAGTTCCGCGACCTCGAACAGGTCGTGTTGCCGATCGAAGCTTCATTATCGCGCTTCGATCCACTCGCGCAGTGGAACGATCACGAGGCCTGCTGGCAGATGCAGTACAGAGGCTCGCTGGGCGAGGCCTTGCTGCATGTTCTCATCATATGCGATACGCGAATACACACCAGAATAGCGCGTATATTGCTCAAGTGTTTCCCGCGACTCGCCATCGACGTCGTCGAGGGCGAGGAGTATCTCGGCGCGAGCGCCCTTCACCTGGCGATCGCCTATAACAACAACGAGCTCGTGCAGGACCTGGTCGATGCAGGCGCAATTATCTCGCAGCGGGCTATCGGTAGCTTCTTTCTACCACGTGATCAGCAGAGGATGAATCCCGCTAGAAATACCGATTACGAGGGACTCGCGTATTTGGGCGAGTACCCGCTCGCCTGGGCAGCCTGCTGCGCTAACGAGAGCGTCTATAATCTGCTGCTTGATTCCGGCGCGGATCCTGACGAGCAGGATTCTTTCGGAAATATGATTTTGCACATGGTGGTAGTTGGCGATAAATTGGTGCGTACTAAAGAATAAATTTGTTATATCACATTCGAGAAGGTAGTATCATATCAGATAATTATTTATTCCTGGAAAAGCATCTTTTTTTATTTTCCAATTGAATAATTATTCGCATTTCCTAGAGAGTTTATTATATGCATATTAGAGCATTTACATCAAAAATTTTATATTTGCTTAATAAATTTAAAAATTTACATTTTGTCCTGATTTTATTCATGTCATCCGCATATTGACTCTGTCTTATAGTAATTGAATACGAGAATTGACTTTCATCATTCTAATGGAATAGAGAACAGAGAATCGTTGTTTGACGTAGGATATGTTCGGCTATGCTCTGCGGCATCCAAAGCTTCCCGCTCGCAACGGAATCGTAAATGCTGCGGGTCTAACCCCGTTGACACTCGCCTGCCAGCTTGGGCGTGCCGAGGTCTTCCGTGAGATGCTGGAACTGTCCGCGCGGGAGTTCTGGCGTTACAGTAATATCACCTGCTCGGCGTATCCTCTCAATGCCCTCGACACGCTGCTACCAGACGGCAGAACAAGTACGTCGTAAAGCTAATCGGATTACGCCGAGACGATTCTACGAGAATCGTCATTCATGGTTCACCGGATCGTGCGCCTTTAAATGAGCCTTCACTTTGTCGCATGTTCCCTAACTAATTGCGACGAGTCAAGAGCGAGATGTTCCCGAATAGTAGTATTAGCATCGTAGTGACACTGCATCACGTCTCGTTGCTTTTCTTTCTTTCATTCTATATAGCATTTCTTTGTCTATTTTTCCTTTTTTGCTTTCAGTTCTTTTATGTTTCAAAAATTTAATTTGCTTTAATTTGCTCTAGAGAAATGGTGAATAATGAATTAAAATTTTCTTGCTCGGTATAGCATTCCTTGCTGAGAGAAATCTCTCTTTAGATTTATGCAATCTTTTTTTGATTTTCTTAATTTCGAGAAGAGTTTACGCAATATTTTTTTTTTTTTTCGATTTTTAGTATCGTTTATTGATTTGTTTTATTTTTGGTACCACACATTTTTGGTATTTATTTTGTTTATTCGTTATTTCTTTTTTCTATTTTTTTTTTTTTTTATATTATAACATATATTTTAAAGAGGCTTATATGTGTTCTCGGATACGCGAAATAAGTCAGTATTATATTTTATTCTACTCTACATTTTCGCTGTTCTTGCTTTTCACATACACAATCTCGAATATTACAATATATTTTAAGGCAGGAACAAAGTATTTCGTTAGGAAGATTTTCGGAATATTCGATAAATTATTCCATGCTGAATTTTTTGCGCTGTATCATACGTGCTTATGTAAAATTGTCCTCACGGTTTCCAACATACGGCTTGTCGTCCATGTAAAGCATCCCAACAAGAAGAAGGCGGGATAGAGCAAAAATTGTGACGCGAGTGTCGACGACAGGAATAGAGGAGGTAGCGAACGAGAGGAAGAGGACTAATATAGCGAGAACAAGAAGGGACTATCTTCTCCCGTAAAATTGGATACGAGGGCAAAATCGAGAACAAAATTAGGTTGCAAAGTTCTCAGAGGAGAAAAAAAGAAAATTTACAAAGTTTTCTTACACGTCGAACGTGTGTCGCAGCTGGATAGTAAACCATACTGCCAGCAACTTCTCGCGACATTGCATACGATGCCACTCGCCAGTAAAAATTGCCTGATATTGGCTCGTTATCGTCGCCCCTTTCGCCGTCGTTATCGTATCAATATTTTCCTATTTTGACGGTAATTTAGAATTGAAGTCGATTTCTCTCATTTAATTGGAATCCAGCGAGATAAATGAAATATTTTTAGGAAGCGTGATACAAATTGCAGCGATATAATGTGAGGTCGATGATTTATATCGACGATTTAATTATACAGTAGAAAAATTCGTACATTTTTAAATTTTATTGAATGTGTTTCCGGTTGATTTTTTTTTTTTTTTTTTTTTTTTTTTTTTTTTTTTTTTTTTTTTTCATTATTTTTTTTTTTTTTTTTTTTTTTTTTTTTTTTTTTTTTTTTTTTTTTTTTTTTTTTTTTTTTTTTTTTTTTTTTTTTTTTTTTTTTTTTTTTTTTTTTTTTTTTTTTTTTTTTTTTTTTTTTTTATTTCTATAAATATTAGAGTTTAAAGAAAAATTAAATTTTTATATCTATGTGAATCACGACAAAAAATAATAAAAGAAATGAAAAAATTTTGCAAGAAATCTTTTTGTTGAGTGGTTTCTACATTATTTATGCTGATCGTTGTTAAAATTGTGCCTTGTCGACAAATACATATTGACATTCGAGCGCGAACCGATTATAATGGTATCCCCATGGAAGCATTCTATTCAAGGAGGTGATACAATTTGATTTTACCCTCGAGCATTTATCATGTCACTAAAATTTTCCAACAAAGAACCGCAGAGAACAAGGGCTGAAGAAAGTTCTGCATGTTGCCGCATGTTGCGTTCGTATTTTAAGAGCTCTATCCCCAATCAAACTTGCGTGAAATTGTATCGAAGTTCGCTGCTGAGCATGGAAAGCGTTGCCGAGAAATGGATGCGTTCGTGGGCGCGGGTTTTCCCGGGTTATTCGCGAGTAAGAATACCGCGAAGCGCGATGCGGATGCCTGAAATCGCGGTGGGTCGTAGTAGGATGCAATTACGGGCATTTAACGAAGTTTCGAGATTAGCTGCGGACCCGACGCAGCGCGGGTGCTCGCGTTTCATTTATTTTCGGAATCCATTATCCCTTCGATCTCTCTCCTTCCTGGCTGCCGTCCTTACCTATTTACCCTTCCTCCTCTCCCTCGTGGCAAGGGGGGAGGGCATATTTCCACCAAGACACAAATGCCTGATCTTGTAAAGGATGACGACGGGCGCATCCGGATGGAGAAAAGTAACCGCGACGGCGAGAGGATAGTCTTATAGAGAAGCGAGTCGAATTTTCGACAAGTCTCTTCTACGGGTGCGTTTAATTACTCCAAAACCAACATCAAAGTTAGGGAAGGAGATAAAGAGCGGACCAAATGGCGATTGGCCAAAAAAGTCTCAACGCGATGGTCAAAGATCGAGCTTTCAGC